AAGTGGTCCTGCAGGGAGGCAGGGCGTGAGGGCTCACCAGGGCCACACGGCTGGTGGCAGGGCAGCCTGTCCCCCTGTCCCAGCCTGCCATGCAGGCCATGCACCGGGCTGTCCCAGGCAGGGCGAGCGTGCCTGCTGCCCCGCTGCGGGCAGGAGTCCCTGCCTTCCTGGCCAAGGAGGCAGAGGGCTGCTGGGGCACAGCCCACCCCGCACCAGGGGCCGGCGGGGCACTATAAAATCAACTTAAAGGGCACAATTTTGGTCACGAAGGAACTCTAAATGAGACATAAAATTTATTATTGAAGTAAGAAGCAAAGTGTGATTTCCTTTCCCAAATACTATCTTAAAATATTAAAGAAGTGGCATCTACATACAAGAATTCATATGTCCAAAACATCAGAAGTAATCTTTAAAATAACACAACAAATTATACCAGCCAGGCTAAGTTCTACACTCAGAAAAGCACAAAATCTTACTACTTCTGCTCATGTGAATTATTTTTTTTTGGTGGTGGGAGAACTCAATCCGATTAAATAAGCTGATTATGACCACAAAGATGGCATTACTGGCATAAAAGATCCCTTTTATATGCTTAATAGTCAAAACCAGCGCTATGATATAATCGCATGCATGTACGAGAAGTGGCACATGCCCATGAATGTGACATGTCTGGGGAGTGTGAGATCTCCCGAGTGTGCCCATGGATGGCCTGCACACACACCGCCTCCACATGCTGCTCCTTCCATTCCAGCAACCCCCTATTTCATCCCCATGCAGGTTTGCTTATTTTTTTAACAACTTCCAAAGAGTGATGCCTAATACATCGGTACTGTAGTTGTGAAACGCCGCTCGCCGCTCGGCGCGGGTGCAGGCTGGCGGCAGGCTCAGCCCACGGATGCTGCGCCCAGTCCGGACCCGGGAGGAGAGCACGTAGCGCTCATCAAAGTGGCCAAACTTTATCTGGAACAGACACGAGCCGTGGGATGCTTACAGGGTGGCGCTGGTGCTGGCAGGGACTCTGTCCCCTCAGGCCCGGGGAAGGGACACCATGCTCAGCACCGCTGCCCAGCTCGCACACCTTGGTGGCATCCAGGTCTGTGACGTGCTTCATGGTGCGGGGGTTGTATCCGTTGTGCCGCTCCTGAATCACGGGGTCGAACAGGTCAGCAAACACCTGGAAGCGAGTGGGATGATGTGCAGCACTGCAGACCCGGCACCCCATGAAGCCCTTGCCACAAGCTTGGCGCAGTCCTGCTGCCAGTGTGGGGGACGTGGCAGCAGGGGGGCTGCAGAGGGTGGCTGGGGGCCATGGCGCGTCCTGCAACGCAACG